GCCTTGCATGCATAACGCCCTGGGTTCAATCCCCAGCACCGCAAAAAAAAAAAAAAAAGATGTTGGGTGACCAGGTTCTTTTCCATAGAACTGAAAGGATGTCCTACTTGCTAATACTGAGCCTTTTTGGTAGCCATGGTGCTAGGCAATTTCCTTAAGCATTCGAGGTGAATTACAAAGGTTCTAAAGGGAAATTGAGGGGGGAAATGACCTCTACTCTTACCTTGTAAAGGACATTGGGAAGAAGGGGTTTACCTACCTGGTCAGGACATCAAAGATACCCCATTCAGTACCATCCCTGCATGAACTTCCCATTTCTTGTTTCAACTCCAAGGCCTGATAGTCCATAAAACAAGTTCTGTCATCAGGATTGATTGGGCAGAGCTGGAGGATTAGACAGAGTCATGGTTTCTGTTTTGAAGTGTTGCAGGTCATGGATGACACCGGCCTCTCCATTCCTCAGTTGTGGGCAGAGCTGAGCCCTTGCATGGCTTAGGTATAGGGTGTTTTGGCAACTGGTCCTGCACCAGGGGTTCCTGTTCAACCTATCCTTCCCCACTGAGTGCCCATTTTCTTTTCTGCCTCCAGATCATCGATCCCAAGATGCCCCGGGAGGGTCTCCTGCACAATGGTGTCCCCATCCCTGTCCCCCCGCTGGACGTGCTGAAGCTGGGAGAGCAGAAACAGGCAGAGGCTGGAGAGAAGCTCTTCCTTGTCCTCTTCTTTGACAACAAGCGCACCTGGTGAGTGATGGCACCACTTGGGGCCATCAGGTGAAGGGAGAGGCGTTACCTACCAGCAGCTGTCCTGTATTGCTGTGTTAATGATAACTGGCTACTAGTATTAGTAGTAACTGAGGGGGTCACAGATGGGACTCTCTGGGAAGCACTCCGAGGTGAAGCTTTGCATTAGGAGGCAGGCTATAGAGAGAGCTGTGGGGTGAGGGGCACAGCACTGGGCAGAGGAAGAAGTCAAAGTGCAAAAACCTTGAAATGGAGGCCTCAGCTCATCCTCTGAGGAGCTTGGGAGGGCTGTTGGGAATTGGCACTGTGTCTTTGTACCTTCATGCCAATTTGTCCCTGAATGCCAGCTGTCCCTGGAGAGGGCATGACCTTGGGCCAGGCAGCTCCCTTGGTGGATGGTTCCTGGAGAGAGAGACTCAGCTGAGAGCCTGTCGGCTGCCAGCACTCCCTGCAGCTGTGGGAACACGCATCTCCATCCTGGAGAACATCTGGGTGATGTGAACCCTCCACAAGGGAATCACTTGCCATGGTTTATGAACACCTTAAGGTTCTTCTTAACACTAGCAGGAGAGTGTTGTCACCTCTGCTTTTGTAAAACAAGGAGGTGGAACTGGTTGGTAAAAATAATGATAGCAATAGCTGCTGTTTATTGAGTGCTTACTCCATGTTCTTATGCTAATTGCTTTACAAACATGATCTGGTTTATTCTCATTTAAATCCCAGTCCCCTCACAATTCATTTTTTTATATGAGGAGGCTGAGACTCAGACAATACCCCTGCTGGGCATGTTGTCTCACACCTGTAATACCAGTGACTCCGGGGGCTGAGGCAGGAAGATTGCACGTTCAAAGCCAGTTTCGGCAACTTAGTGATGCCCTAAGCAACTTGGCGAGACCCTGTCTCTAAGATATAAAAAAGGCTGGGAATGCTGAGCGCGGTGGCACACACCTGTAATCCCATGACTTAGGAGGCTGAGGCAGGAGAATCGTAAGTTCAAAACCAGCCTTAGCAAAAGCTAAGCACTAAGCAAACTCAGTGAGATCTATCTCTAAATAAAATACAAAATAGTTCTGGGGGTGTGGCTCAGTGGTTGAGTGCCTCTGAGTTCAAACCTTGGTACCTGCCCCCCCCACACACACAAAAAAAGAACTGGGGATGTGGCTCAGTGGTTAAGTGCCCTGGGTTCAATCCCTAGTACCAAAAAATAAAAGACACCTTGACCAGAACTGACATAGAAACCAAGATCTGAAGGCTGTGCTCTCAGCCACACATTAGATCCAACTAGGGAAGTGGGGATGGGGGTAGGGGGATAACACACACACACACACACACACACACATAAACACAATGTAGACACCAAGGAGGTCCATAAATTCCTGGCATTGCCTCTACTTCCTAACCACAGCTCCATTTCCTAGCCATAACTCCCTAATTCCCCAAAGCATGTGAGGATCAAAGTCCTCCAGGGTCACTCAGCCTGCCCTCTGGGACAGCAGATGGGCCTCTAATGGCTCTAGGGCCCTGACAACCCTCAGAGCAGAGTGAGGGCCCAGGGAAGGACCTGGCTGCCAAACAGATCCTATGCCCTCCTCCCCACCCCTGCATACTTGCTGCCCTGTCCCACCTGGTTCTTGGTGGCTCTTGCATGAATTTGTACCAATCTAACCTACTCTGCCCTGTAACCTCTCTCCAGCCTTGCCTGTTCTGGGCAAGTGGGCCCAGAGGAGCCCCTGGACCCATTACAGTCCAGCTTTTTAACTGTGCTTGTATTTCAGGCAGTGGCTTCCAAGGGACAAAGTTCTTCCCTTGGGTGTAGAAGATACTGTGGACAAGCTCAAGATGCTGGAAGGCCGCAAGACCAGCATCCGCAAGTCAGTGCAGGTGGCCTATGACCGTGCAATGATCCACCTGAGCCGAGTCCGGGGACCCCACTCCTTCATCACCTCCAGCTACCTGTAAGGATGAGGCTGGGTTTGCTTCTGGCTGCCCTGCCTGCCTCCGTCCCATGGGGCACAGAGAAGCCTCTTCTGCCCAGCCAGATGTATGGCCGGCAGTTCCCACTCATGGCAGGCCAGGGATTGGACTGTGTCCTCACTTAGGGCAAGGCCTCAGTTTTGACCAATAACATGGTTTCCCTGGAGGGCCTGCTGTGTGCCAAAAACTCCCACCTGAGGTCCATCAGGGCCATTCCACTGAAGAACCACTTAGAAGTAGAAACAGCTGTGGGGCTTGGGCCCAACAAGGAGATGGACCTGGCCCAGAAGGCGAGAGGTGCTAGGCTCCTTCTCAAGGGGCTGCCTGGCTCCTCCAGCCCCTTCCCAGCTAACTACACCTCAGGGCAGGCGAGGTTCTGACACTGATCCCAGAGATGCTGTGGATGCGCCAGGGTCCCTTGGGGAATCCCACTGAGCTCCCCTTCTCCCCCTCGCCAACCCATTCTCAACCTATCTTGTCTTCACCCTCTTTCCCTGTTCCTTTCCTTCCTTTCTCTCTTGTGCCAAACTGACAGAAACATCACCAAACTTGTCTTTTTCTTTAAAGTCTCATTCCCTTCCTGGCCGGCTGCTATGCTGGGTGGATGTCTCTGCCAGGCCCCTCAGGGTCCAGGCAGGGGCCAGCCCACCCGTGAGAACCCCACCCACCAGCACACCTCCCCATCCCACTGACCTCTGCTGCTGCTAATAGGGCTGAGCCTGGCCATCTGAGCATGCCCCAGGGTGAAGTGGCCCTCTTACCCTCTCCCTGTCTTGCTGTGTCATGGGCCCAGGCTGGAGTGGGCCCCTATCAGCAGACCAGGCTGATTGTGAGAGTATCCATCTGTCCCCTGAGATGCCATGGGCAGTTGGGATGGAGCGGTGCCCATCAGCTGGGTGTGCCCTCTCCCTCCTCCCCTCTCATGGGCTTTTTTGTTCTGTAACTGCAGCCTTAAAGCTCTCCACCACCGTGGACAGCATGGCGCTGCCTTCGCACATCCCCCTGCCTGCACTCTGCCCCATGGTTCTGCCCCATGGCTCTGCTGCTCCCTCCTCCCAAACCAGGGAACATAGCCCTTGAATTTCATCCCCTGTCTCCTTCCCTCTTTCTCTTCAACCTCCTCTCCACCACCTTCCCAAAAAATGGAAGGGAAAAAACAATACAAAACTGTGAATGGGGAATGCTGACTGACAAACCAACGCAGCTTTCAGAGGCTTCTATGTTTGTTCTCTGGACATTTCTTTTTTCCTCCTCTTAAACACCAAAGTCGCAGGCCAGCTTGCAGGCCACTGACCGCCATGTTGATTTTTAACTTGACGTTCTTTTTAATTGTTTTAAATTTTTCATAGGGGAGTTTTGGACAAAACAAAGTCACTGGGGAGATCACTGCCATTTGTACACACTCAACTTTTTAAAAATACAGCCAACCACACACTGACTTCTTATACATTTGGGACATGAGCCAGAGTTTAAAAGGGAACCAACTAAACTCAATAACATAAAGGATGGGATTTTGGATTTTGTACAATAAAAACAAAAAAACAAAAAACAATTCAGCATATGGCTAGGGAAGGACATGGTGTATATAATTGTAAAATACTGTTCTAAATTATTCAGGCCTATACTGTCCATTACTGGAGTCCTCCATTGTGTGGCCACACAGTGTGGTTTATTTAAAGGAGCCTACGCGTCCCCTCTCCCCGGGTAGTTGGTCAACTGTGGACTCTGTGACCTTTGTCTAAACCTGTGTTGTAAGATCTTGGAGCTCTCTCCCCACTCCCCCACTCCATGTCTGTCTCTCTCTTCTCTTCCCCTAGCACTTTCTTTTCTTAGTCTATTTTTCAACCTCTGAATCCTTCAGTCTCTCTCTGAGTCTCATTTTTAAAAATGCTCTTTTAGAACGCGAAACGGCTCAGATCCTGCTGTGGCATGGGGCCTGTGTGTCTCTGTCGCGTCTGCTGTGAAGCACATGATGCTCTATTTATTGTAGAAAGTGACTTTATTTGCTTTCTAGAATTGTTTATAACAGATGGTATAAGAGAGGTAATAAACAGAGAAAATCTATGCCTGTAAAGAATACAAAAGTTAATTTTACCTACTATAATATGACTGTCGGAAACTTATTTTCTCTCTGAGAAATAAATGTTCTAATGGGCAGCAATTGCTGTGTTTGATGTGGTCAGTGGGGGCCCCTCTTCCTAAGACCTACTCAGTTGCTCCTCAGAAGGCCAGAGCCCTTAAGAATGGGGGTTGTCTGGCTGTTGCAGGCCCCTGGCTGGAGAGAGCTCTGTCTCTTGAACCTTTGGGTAGGCATGAAGATGGGTGCTGACCTTGTTTCCCTCCCAGATAGTGCCACCTGGGAGCCACGGAAGGGCCAGCCCACCTTCCTATACCTCAGATTCTCTGTGGCCATGTTCCTGTAGGAGCTCTGCTCCTCTTCAGTGGGAGGAGTGGCCATCCGGACACCCACAGCACCTCAAGAGTTTTAAGACGCTCTCTCCTTTTGCCATTATTGCTGGTCTGTTCTATAGATGGGCAGCTGACCAGGCAGAGCCCAGCTCTTCTTAGATTTGGAAGGGATCCTTGAACCTGCCTTGCCCCCAATTCACAGAAACAAGGAACAAGGCCAGCAGGAGTGAAAGGCTTGACCAAGGTCCACGAGCTAAGGAATGGTGGCAGAGTCCTGGGAGGAGGATCTGGCCAGAGCGCCCCGTGGGCTCCACGGCATTTCAAGGTTGCAGTGGCCTCTTGTATTCCATGCTCCCCATTCTTGGTGGTTGTGGCCTCAGCCTTTCTGGAAAGGGCATTGAGAAGAACGGAAGCAGCAGGAGGATTCCCAGGAACAAACTGCTTGGTTGTTGGGCCTCAAATAGCTTTTCCCATCCCACCGCCTCTCTGGGCCTGCCCAGCTCCTGTGCCTGTCTAGTGTGGCAGAGGACATGGGTCTCCTGACTATCTTCTACCCAGGCCTGTGACATTCTTGATATTGAGGTTACTAATGTGTGAAAGTCAGTTCAGCTTAACACTAAAGAGGTTCCTCCTTTGTGCTGATGATCCTTGTGTTGCAAAGAGCCTGGGTCTCAAGGTTCTCACAACCTGATGATAAGACATCACAGAAATCTCTGAACGAGGCCAGTACCAGAGTCCCAGAAGCCTGGAGAAGTTTGGGAGACTTTTTTGGTTGGAGAATAATGAAACTTTCAGAAGAAATAAGCAATTCAAGCCTTGAAAAATTGTCAAAAAGTCCTTATTTATGAATTGAATTTTGAATTATGAAATAGTGTAATGAAATTATGAAGCCTATAAAATATTTTAGAAATAAGGAAAAATGGCCAAGTGGGTGGGATTTAATAGGCACACCTGAAGATAGATGAAGCAACTTGTCCTGGCTAAGGAAGGAATTGTGCATATACTGACTAGTGACCGACTAAAACCCCTTTTGACTGGAAGCCAATAAGGTGGTGAGGCAGTGCATCAGGCTTAAAAACCCTGTCACTCACTGGCTGTGTGACCTCAAGCATGACAGTCAACATCTCTGAGCCTCTCTGAGACTGGTGTAGTGGAGGACCCCCAGGGCAAGGCATCAGTACACAGAAAGTGGCAGCATCCACTAAGGACTTGAACAGGGAAGAGATGATCAGAAAGGAAAAGAAACAGGTGTTTGAGACAGGGTTGCTGGTTAACTGTGGGGATCAGGGAGCCTGGGAAGTTGGAGGGTGCATTTTGCTGCCTATGGAGCTTCTGAGAAAAACCTCTAGTATGCAAGTGGGAGTTGGACCCGGAGTTCAAGAAAAGGAATAGATGACGAGGAGGTGGGCAGTTAGCAGAACGGCCAAGGAAAGAGGAGGTGACAAAAGACTTGAGGAAAGTCCCATGTGTATATAGAAGGCAGGGAGAGGATGGAGACAGCACCCTCAGAGGGCCTTGGTCCCCAGGGGTCCCTGTGGAGAATTGGCAAGCCCTAGGGATCATCCCACAGGTGGGGATGGGGGGAAGACAGCCAGGTGTGCTCAGCATCACAAGGCAAGAAAAGGCGGTGCCGGAGCAGAGCCCAGAACCCAGCACCACCTACTCCGCAGACCCACCCCTCAGAGCCTTCCAGGGGAACAAACATGTCCTTAGTAAGTTCTGTTCATGGTGTGATTGGACTTCATGGACTCAAGTCTAACACGGTGTTTAAACCTTGGAGCATGCAGCAGGGGAGGTCTGACTTGGAACAGAGAATCCTGTTTTCCTAAGAAGTTTAAAAACACCATGAAGCCGGGCGTGATGGTGCACACCTACACCTGTAACCCCAGCGACTTGGGCTGCTGGGGCAGGAGGACTGCAAGTTCAAGGCCAGCCTCAGCAACTTAGCGAGACCCTGAGCACCCTGTCTCAAAAAATAAAAAGGACTGGGGAATGTAGCTCAGTGGTAAAACTCCCTGGGTTCAATCCCTGGTACAGAAAAAAATCAAAAAATTAAAATATCACTAAAAGCATTTGCCAAAAAACCATGGTGGGGGTCGGGGGCTGAGATTGTGGCTCAGTGGTGGAGCACTTGTCTAGCATGTGTGAGGCCCTGGGTTTGATTCTCAGCACCACATATAAAAAAATAAAGTTCTATTGACAACGAAAAAAAATATTAAAAGAAAAAAACAACAACAAACATGGTTGGCTTGGCCACTTCCGTTACTGTTGGCCTTACCACTTGAGCGTGAGTTTGCCTCTCAGAAGGGCTTGCCTGACCTGGCTTGGCTCAGCCTTGACTGCCGGGCTATGCAAGAGGGTGCTGAGGGGGACATGGACAGTGAGGCCTTCATGAGCCCCGGGGCTGCAGGCCTCCATCAATGCCTGTGGACAAGCATCAATCATGCGCATCTCTGGTCCTGCCAACTGCAGCCAATCTGGCCTTTACCGGAGTCAAGAGCAGGGAATAGTTTCTTTAAAACAAGGGGTAGAAGTTTCTAAATGACTGCAGGGGCCAGGGAGGTGTGTGTGTGCTGGGCCAGAGCAACAGGGAACTGGCTCCATCTTGGCACTTGGGGTGTCCTGTTTGCCCTTCCCCTTCAAGGGCCTCAGCTGGTAATTGGAGTGGACAGGAAAAGAAAAAAAAAGAAAGTGCTAAGGAGAAAATAAGAACTATCCTCAGCAATAACCATTTTAACATGATTCCTGAGAGTCTCTTGTTTTCTCTAGGTGAGCATGTGTTTTAGTTTCTTGTACTTGGTGGCTGAGAAATCATCGGCCCCGTTCTCCGTATGACTAGGATGCGAGCCTCCCAGCCTCCTCTGCCCACAAACGCCTCCTCCTCACTGGCCTTCTACTAAAACTATACACCCCAGACACTGCCTGTCATTGTTTTCCTTCATTTTGTTAAAATACCGGAAGTCTCCATGGCATTGGAAATCAGACGGGTGCAACACATCTCTGTCCCAACAACTTTGTACATTTCCATGGGAATAAGTCCTAGACCAAATTATGCCCCATTTCCAAAAGTCCATGAACAAGGAGGCATCACAAGACCACATCATCCTCTGATTCAAGAAACTCTCAATCTGCCCTTTAGTACAGCCACCAGCATCAAGAATGGAAGGTCATTCTCAGGTGGACACGATGCTCTTCCGAGGGCAAGACCTGGGGCTTGAGTGGGTGGGTTGGGAGCAGGAGCAACTGAGCTCTAAACTTTGAATCTTTTTTTAGATGTAACTTTACCTTGAGTCCCATGAATTTGCACATGTGCAGGTCAAAATGCAGAATATTTCCAGGGCCCCAGAAGTTTCCTCATGGCCCTTCCCAGTCAGTACCCCTGCTCCAAAGGTGACCGCCTATTCTTGAACTTGGTGTAAATGGCATCACACAGAAAGCGCTGCTTGTGTCTAGCTTCTTCCATTCAGCATCATGTTTCTGAGCTCTCTCCTGTTTGGCCTGTAGCTATAGTTTGTTTTTTGCTATTTCTGAGCAGCATTTCATTGTTCAGACACCCTGCAGTCTGTCTGTGTGTTCTCCTGCTGACGGACACTGGGGTTTCCATTTGGGGGCTGTTAGGCCGGCACTGCTAGGAACGTTCTTGTATGTGTCTTTGGTGGACATAAGCACTTGTTTCCCCAGGAGTGGCATCGCCTAGCGGTGGGGCAGATTCATGTTTAGCGTTAGTCCATTCTGCCGGATTTCCATTGGTTGTTCGTTTTACACTCCCCAGTGACACAGGTCCGCAGCAGAGGCACAAGTCCAGGTGTTCCCCATCCATGTCATACACGGCTCCTCGCCCAGGGCATTTGCTCTGGATCTGGTTGTTGAATGGTTTCCACTGAGCTCCAGCAGGCAGCCATTCTTCTTCCTTTACAGTGCTACCCTGCTCCAGGGTGTTTTCAACTGGGGAACCCCCAACTGAAGGGACTGGTGGGGAGGGAAGCTGAGCGGGTGCAGTCTGCAGACGCATGTGCCCACCCGACTGTGCTGCCCTCTACCCTTGGCACCCACCTTGCACCATGGCATCTCTGCACTGGCTCGTTGCAAAGTGAGTCATGCTGAACGGTCCCTGGCTCAGAGTATACAGCCCTTCCCTGGCTCTCCTCCTCACCCCTGCCCACGGGGCTCCAAAGGACACCAGCCTCCAGCACTTCAGTCTACCCCCAGCACATCGTGTCCAAATCCTTCCTTGCCCACAGGCTGATGTCCCCAGTTCCACCATTAGCACTCCGTGCTTTTACCTCTCGAGGCCATGACCCACTGGCTCGACCCCGGTCAGAGTGGGTCCATTTCCCTTTAAAGGGTTGGTGACCTGGATGAACAAAGGCAACCGGAGCAGGTCTGCATGAGGCCATTGACAAGGACACTCAGACCTTGAGGGAGGATTAAAAGGAGAGGAGAAGGGCCCATGTGTCCTTGGCTGACCGTGTTCAGAATCAAGCAGGAGAAGGCGCAGAAGTCTCTGAAGTGACTTCAAAGGACTCACTCAGATCTCTGGTGGGGTGAAGGTCATTGGAGATAAGAATGCAGGTCAGGGGAAGAGACTGGGCAGCCTCATGAGGGAGTCAAGCTCTGGACACACAGGACTGTGGATCCAGGGTTGACTTGAGCAACGCTCTGAAGCTGGCCTTGTCCTCAGGCTCAAGAGTATCATCTAGGACTGGGGGCAGGGGTGGGTCCTCAGAGGCGGGTGAGGCCACAGGCTTTCCT